CATAGGGTGTATAATATATTGCAACTTAATATTTAAGTTTAGCTTTTCCTAGGAAGCTTGTGAGTTTTTCAGTATGGCCGAAGTGGTGTTTGGTTTTCTGTTTGGTTTCTTTTTTTGATACATCTGGAAAATCTTACAGGCTATTTTCAATTGATACAAGCACAGGTAAGTAGAAAATGCAAAAATCAAAGATTAAACTACTCAGGGAGATCAACACTGGATGATTAGGCAAAAGAAGCAAGTTTTAAGAAAGCAATTTAACCAGCAAAACAAGAGATCACTTGGTGTCTTAGCAGCAGGAGACAGTTGTTGCCAGCGTAGTGGGCAATGCAAAGAGGCATTAAATCTGGACTGGGAAATGGGAGTTGAAATACACATGAAAGAAAAATTCATTTTGCAAGGAAGCCAACACTCTTTCTTTGTACTGAGTCCAGCAAGTTTTCCATGCATTGAGTATGTGGGCGAAGTTAAAACTACAGCTTAAACCGAAACAGTGGTTTGACATTACAGAAGTGGAAAATGTCTTCTGCTTGCTTTGCCTTCTGTCTCTTCCTTGTCCCATGCGTCCTGGCCCCACACTGCTCCTTCATCCCTCCTTGCAGAGGCGCTCATGCTCATCCCTTAATAGCCCACAGACAGCTATAACCGAAAAGCCTTAGCAGAAGGGCCCAGTGAATAGAGCTAAACTTTCTGTTCATAAGCAGGAATAGACTGGTAATGAGTTTGTAGGTGGCAAACTGTTGGAGCTGCTCCGCTGTGACTTGCAACTGCATCCTAAATATGTGTGAGCAGAACCTTCAGCAAAGCTTTTGTGTAATGCCTAAATTCTGTCCTGCTCTTTACTGTCATCCACCTATTCGTTGTTCTTAGAAGTTATACAGTAAGTATTCACTTCAAGGACTGTATTTAAAAAAAAGTTTCTAAGCAGTTCTTTTGAATGCACAGAAAGAAGTCTTGCAATTGAAATTCAGTGAGAAAGCTTTTAATGAAATACAAATTTACTCTGCTCTAATATTGTTAATTTTAAGAGTAAATTGGTTGTTATAGTGTTTTAAATGCTGGATTTATAACTTTATGCTGCAGTTACAAAATCAGTTGAATTTTTTATGTAAGAGCATGCTGGTAGTCACTTGGCTGGACTGAAGTTACTTGCTGATTCACTGAGCTCAGCTGGTAAAGTATGGTGGTGGTACAAGCTCTTCAGAATATATGAGTCCAAAATAAAAGCACCGAGTGTGCATATATTCCCATTTCACACTTGTTTAGTTCTTGTCTGTCTTAGGAGATGGAACAAAAATACCAAAAGTAACAGCAGATTTTTATGGCAAAATTGAAAGTTGAAATTCCCAATGACTTACGCTTCCCTGTTTACCATTCTTTTTTGAAATACCAAAAGAATGCTGACATTCTCCAACATCTCTTTCCTGTCATTCTAACCTGTTACTGCAGTAATTTCTTTGTGCCTTTCATTGTTTGCATTGTAAACCTTTCCTTGGTTTTTCCTATGGATGTGTCAGGTTTTGCTATCTTTTGCAGTTGTGCTTAGTGGTATCATTTAATCTCAGGGTAAATAGCCCTAGGTAGGCATTGTGCAAGTACTAGAAAACTCAGTCCTGAATCCTGGAATATTAGATAAATAGCGAATAATAAGCTGAAGGATGGAGATAATAAAGCATATAAGTTTTTTGAGTAGTGTACTAATATGAATCCTCTGTTGGTAATAGAAGGAGAATGAAAATGCTCTAAGAGATTTGTAGCCACCTTTGCTTTATAAAATGTAATCTAGATCTTACATGGATAGGGAAGCAGGAAATGGAATAATTTAGAATGAGTCACAAGCAACTGACAAATTGAAAGCAAGCAGCAAGAAAGATTGGAAAAATAGAGTTGGTGGCAAGATGCATGACCTAATTGACTGCAGAGTTATAAGGGAAGAAATGTAGACAGCTGAAGTTTTTAGACTGAAGAACAGAAACATTGAAATGTCATGAAACTCCAATGAAAAACATTGGAGATACTAAGTTTTGCCTATAAAGGGTGGATGCTGCTCTAGAAGAGGGGTGGCAGTTTTGAGCATGGGGTGGAGAGATTCTAAAGTAAATTGAGATAAAGATCAACCCAGAAGAAAATCCTTAAGATGGAAATAAAATGGCAATAGAAAAAGGATGAAAGATCAGCAGTGGTGGATTGAGGGTCAGTGATCAAGAAATGGTAGAAGAAAAGAAATGCAATTACTTGCAAAACAAGAAACAATGTTTAATAAAGATACGGCTTGGCAAATTGTGATATTGGAGAATGTTAGATCCAATTAAGATCACGTGTGAATAAGTAAGACCCAAGAAACAAATGATAATGTGTCATCTGACATGAAGATGGTAGACTTCAGCAAGACAATCAGTAACCGTGGGGAGCCACTGTGCATAGAGAAGAATGAGGGAACAGTTGAAAGGTGTTCTGCTGCTCATTCATTCTTATTATCATTTGCTGCATTGCGTGCTTTTGTATCATTCAGAGCTTCAAGAAGATGAATGTGATTCCACTCTTGCCTGTTGTACTAAAAATACTTGAATTGGAATGCATGCATCTGAAGCTTTTCATTCTGTGTGTAAAGGCAACAACACCAAAACAGAAATGTGTAAGACAAATTATAGTTTTAATTTGATTTTACTGAATTCAAAGGATCAACAACATTAACTTTGAGATTTGATGAAGATTTGTTGCTCTAGAAATTCCCTCTGATATACTTATCCTCAGAAAAAGGTTGGCTATTGCAGGTGAGACATGATGCACTGAACTATTTAATTTCTGTTCTTTTTGAGCAAAGACTACCAAGGTTACAAAGAAAAGATTCATGTCTAATTCGCTACAGTCTCTTGAAAACATCAATATGCACTGCTAAATTTTCAGTCATGCATATATGCCATTTAGTTTTCCAGTTTCGAAGAAATCCAAATATCGAGCATGTGAAAGTTCACCAATTCATTCTTCAAGAGTAAGCTCTTCTGTTAGACTGAAGCTTTGGCAAAGAATTTTAAGAAAACTTGCAGTTGCATCTTTCTTTACTCTTTTGGCAAATAATATTGAACTATTTTCAGCTATTCAGGTTTCTTGGAGTATGCTGAAAGAGCTAAAGGTATTTAGACCACTTCAGCCATCTTGCTTACCTTTTAACATTTTGATGCTAGTAGAGCTTGCGTTGTCAGTGACAGGAGATTACTTCATATATGAAGTTGAGGGTTTGTACTAGGGCTCACAGTATTGCAGACTGTGTGGATTTTTTGGTTAGACATCTGCTTTTTTTTCCCAGATAATTGGTGTCTCTGAACCTCTTTATATGAGGGAATCAATAGTGCTGCAAGCAGTAAAAGAGATACACTGAGAAAAATAAGTTTTATGGCCAAATTCCATGGTTCTCAGCCTTTGGCTACAGTGAAACTAAAAGATGTAAATCGATTATGCTGTATTCAGTTGTGTTGAAAATCTGCTTTCTTCTACAGTTATTGCAGATTCTCTGTAGTAGGTCTTGATCTGTTGTTCTGGAAATACAGCTATGACCACAGACCTGCCCTGTAAATAGGAGACCTTACCATAAGGAATGTGGTTGTCTCTAAGTGCCATTTTAAAAATGCATGTTTATTGATATTCAGGCTGATTCAGAAAGAATTTCTTGAGTGAGATCTGACTTTTCACAACAGAAAGAAACATAGGCTGTAGATTTTCCTTTCTGTCTCTTACAGTGAAATATTTTACTGCTGTGACTTGCTTACTCTGTTATATGCATGCTGCACTCTGAGACAGTTCCTGGGTGTTAGAATTGTTGATGAACCTTTAATGAATCATTCAGTGTTCTTGGTTTGTGTTCCTGTATGTTCCTATGTTGTGAATGAAAGGGAATTTAGAGTTACATACTCAGTACTTTTTCCCAAAAGTGGATTTCTTACACCATGTTCCCTTTAGACCTGGTGTCTGCTACAGTGTAGTGTTAATATCTTAAAGAAATGAAATTGTTACTGTTTCCCTGAGACACCATTTGACAATCATAGTCGTGTTCAGGAACTTTTTTTTCAGCCTATAATTTTTTATTCTGTTTCTCTTTGTTACCAATTCTAATGCTCTTAAAATCCTTCTCTATCTTTAATGTGTATCACCTTCAAATATTCCATCAGATGAATGTTTTTCCTTTCAGTATTTCTTGACCAAAGTAGATATGTAGCTATTTTAATCTTCCTTTGTAAATCATTCTCCAGTCTCCTGATTATTTTTGTTGGGGTTTTTTTTCTCTGAATTCCATGTAATTTGTCAATACCTTTCTGATATTGAGATGCCTAGGGGTGAATGGAATATTGCAAATATGTAATTACCTCTCCTCTCATTATTCAGAGGTTATATTTATTATTGCTGCACATAGCCAATTCATATCTAAATTGCTGTCCACTATACTTGTATGCTTTTTCCAGTATTACTGGATCACAGATTTGCATCTGCTGTTTCAGATGTGTTTCTAGCATGCATATTGCCAGATGCTGTTCCTTGTATTTTCATTTCCTAATTCTTTTATTTCATTCCACACACATTTCTAAACTCCCAAAAGCTGATATTACTTTTGCTCTGGCAGGTTATCAAGGTTATCTTGCTTCTTGAGTTGTTGCCTGTTTGACTCTTGGAAAATAATTTTGCTTTCATATATATATATATATATATATATATGCGCTTTTTTTCTGCAAATATGTAATAACTTCTACTGCCCTGGGGATTTTGATTTGAGATTCTCCATCTTGTTTCTGTTAGCTTTCCTAGGTTTGAAAAACCCACTCCCATTATCTCACTTACTTTATTAAGTGGTCATCAGCACAGAAGCAGCAGTTGCTATGTGTGCATGAATTCATTCATATGTGTCTATGTGTGTGTATGTGTTGTGTGTGTGTATGTACGCCTATACCTACTCAATGTATAATGCATTTCCCTACTCTTCCATTTAAAACAATGCTATTTACCTGCAGGAGGAGGAGGAAGAAACATATGAGCAAACTCTAGAATTCCGCAGAGGAGGTGATGGTCAGCCAAGACGGTCCACACGGCCTACTCAACAATTTTATCAACCCCCAAGAGCTAGAAACTGATTAATAAGAAATAAAAGGTAAATATATGATACTGACATTTTGTTTATGGGCTTAGATTTCAAGAAAAGTAGGTCTGGAGCATTATGTACTTCAGCGTTCTTCAGTCTTTGTGAAGTTCATGAGAGAACTTTCTACAACTTTGCCAGTAGTTGGTTGTACAAGAACCCTCAGCATTGGGTTGCAGATGATGAATATTTTGAACAAATAAATTCTTGTAATCACCATTTTACAAGCAATAGACAACTTTAATTCCTAGAAAAACCTTGTTTCTCATGTAAAAAAAAAAGTATTAAGCACTAGCACATGTATGACCTACTTTGTTTAATAGTGGTAACCTGTTTATAAAGAGCAAGCACAGAGCAGTGATTGCTACACCTACAAAGAACTATTGATACTAAATCAGTTTCTTATTTAAGTGAAAGTTTTATGGTTGTGTCTTTTTGGTTTAGAAACCACTTGTTGCGATCACCTACATGGAAGAGATGTTTGGCATATTGCTTCTAAATTTTGAGGGGGGATGTTGGTATATTTATGATAGAAATGGAATCTCTCTTCCCTGGCCTTTGTGGCTGTATGAAGAGACTTAATATACCTGTGGGAAGAGGGGAGGCAATAAAAACACTTTGGCAAATAGCTTTTTAACTTTGCTTTATGTAAGGACTCATGTCATCTGTGCAAGCTTTTACTTGATACTTTTTCACTGAGAGTAGCAGCAAGTTTCTCTCATTCACATAAATTGGACCAGCTGCTTCTCTGAAACAAGTGGCTGTAGTCCCTGCTGAACTCAGTACTGTCTGTCTCTGTCCAAGGTCCCATATTCTACTTCCCATATTCTACTTTTTATGAGCCATTTATGTGAATAAATATTCTTTCTATCATTTTGCTTAGCTTGGAAAGGAGAATTTGCACCACTAAAATCTAAAATCTGTGAGCTCGCCATTGAATGGGGAGGTACAAGGCCTAAGAATATTTACCATGCTCTGAATCTTGAGGATATACTTGCACCTATACTTTATTAATTAGCAGAAATTAAGCGATTATATATCATCCTCAGAAAATACATCTGATATGTACGTTCAGAAATCTAAAAAGGCCAGCCAGATAAAACAGTTAGAATTCTTTTACTAAACAAATCCAGGATGCTGTACTGCTTTCATTTTACTTGTGGACCTTGTAAATCTTTGATTTTCAAAACTGATTAAAAGCCTATCCTGAATTAAAGCTTTGTAGAGTCACATGCTATTTGGTGTACATCTACAATGTGTCTTTGTCTTGAATCTGATTTTTTTTTTTTCTCCTACTAGCCAGTTTATTTTTACCACGCTCTTTTAGTTCCTTTCCTTGCTCTAGACCTCCATGTTCATTCGGCTTAATAGATGCTGCCGATCTCTGCAGCTTTTGATGTTTCTGACATGCAATAACATATGATTTTACTTTTTTGATCATATGCTAAAATACCTTTTTCATTTGGGGGACTACTGGCAATATAAGAGCGAAATTTATTCCTGACTCTTGCCAAGGTGATAATTATTCTATTTTTGCCCATATAATTCAATTTTCTATTTTAAGTGTATCAATCACTATCAATAAACATGTCGTGAGGTAATTTATGCAGAAATAATTCTGAGATGTGCGCTGAGCTGAGTTCTAAACCAGCTCACTTGGCTCGGAAGAGTGTCAGTGTGATCAGCTGAATGAGGTGTGCTCTGTGTAGACAGCAGTCAAAACCAGGGAGGTTTTTTTGTGTCTTTAGGTAATATTTCTGGTATTTCTCTAATTTTACAGTATATAAATCTGGAAAACCGTATTTGGCTTTGGTCAGCTGGGAGCGGGTGGAAAACGGACATCCAGAGAGAGTGATAGTGACTCCTGTATCTCAAGAAAAGCGAATAGTTGTTGGCAAGTGAGGAACAACCTTTCTAAGCTACAAGTGGTTGTTCCTTGCATATTTTCTTATACCTTTCTTTGAAGATTCTAACAGGATCCTGATTTAAATGGACAGCAGACTCAGTATCAAAACCTACATACCATAAAAAATAAATAGTTACAGCCCTTCCCCTGCCCCAGTTCAAATACTATTGTTTTCTGTCAGACATCTCTAAATAAAGGGGCTAGATTCAGGTGGTAAATAGCGTCAGTTAAATAAACCTTAAACCATTTGTCAAGAAGTAGCAATGGACTCCTCTCATCCAGGAAAAAAAAAAATCAAGATAGATTTTGGAAAATATGTCATGAAGCTGAATATAATTTTTCAGCAACTACTTTGCTTTAAAAAGTACATCTTTTATTGGCAATACTTCCAGATATATCCTTCTTTTTCTTCATCACAATGTAAAACTCTGTTCCTTAATTGATGAAATGAGGTATTTCTTGTGTCCTCTTTTGGCCCAGGACTGTTCACTTCAACATCTGCTCAAGTTAGTGCCAATTTGTCATCCAAAACTGAACTTATTAACCCCGTGCAGTATACAATCAGTGACAGCTTAAACCTCGTAAATTTTGGCTACTTTTGTAAGTCTAACACTTTATCCTCTATGATACAAATAGCAAATATTGTAGGAGTTACACATAGCTTAAGTAGTCATCACTGTAAACAACGATTCATTAAGAGAAACTACAACTTACTGCTTGGCAGGAAGATTCATTCCCTCTAGATCAAAATATTCAATGCCATCATCTTTGGCTGCCATAACTTAATTTTCTTGAACTTTAATTAAGTGGAAATTCTCTAAATGGCTAAAACATAGTCAATTAGAATATTTGTGTATTTTATATTAAAATGATTTGCTAAATCTAGCTATTTTAATTAGCTGCTTTATCAGATTTAGGTTTGTATTTGGAAAATTTCCAGTATTAAGCTCAACTACATTTCAACATAAAATAAAGTAAGAGCTATTCGATGTTAACATCAAAAAGAAGTTGTCAAGATATGAAATTGGTCTTAGATTCTTGAAACATTAGGATCACTCGGGTAGAAAAAGAAAATAGAGAGGCAAGAGATGCCTTCTATATAGAGGTTGGGTGGTGCTACTTAAGCATAGTTAGCTCCTGTGTTATTTCCAGTCAAAACAATCCTTTATTTTATCTAGAATTCCTAATATGTATTTTTTTCATCTGCCACTGTGTTCTAGTGAATATTTGGAATACTGAACTTCTTGTTCCTTTCTCTTCAGGAGTGTGGCATTTTCAGTCATCTCTGAATAATGTCAAAAAGTGGAAATTCTTCATCGTTTTAAGAACAATCTATTGCTGATCTTTTTGAGGATAAAAATATTGTAGTGCTGTATCAAGAAGCTTTTTCTGTGTGGTACAGTCAAGCTTTCGCCTGTTAGATTTGCTTTCTGAAGCTTGTGTAGAGTCCAGTGTAGCTTCCCTCATTTGCCTTGTTTGATAGGTAAAGTCATGTGAGAAGGTGTTTACTGTGATGCTGTGGTGGACATATTTATCAGGTATGGCTTATAGCTCCCCATAGTACATCTCATGCTACCATATATCTTATACTTAGGTTGCATTTCGAAATGCATTGCGCTTGACCTAATGAGGTACTGATTGAAGACAGTGGAATTGGAGAGAAACCAGTAATGAAAATCTATTAAGCTTTTCTAAAAATAAGTGGTAGATGTAATCAGTTCTTCTCTGATTTTAAATGTAGGCAGAAAATCAAAGGTAGTCCTTTTCTAAATTGCTTCCAGCTTAGCCAGACTTGTACAACAGTGTAGAGCTTTAATGCCTTGATATGTAAAAGTTCAGGAATATTGAATGTCAGTTCCTAGAAGTGGATTTCTATGCTTTTTTCCTCATTTTTATTCCTTAGAGCTTCTGAGAGTATGGAATATTGTTGTTATGTCAAGTTTTTGATAACCTGTTAGATAAAGACGTGATTTATTAGGTAAAGTTTCAAGGGATCCAGTGAGACATAATTTTACCACAACTTTCCACTGAAAGATGCTTTACTTTTTCACAAGATCATTGATTAATGACACCTTTACTCCCTGAGAGGGAGTACCTGTGTATTATGTAAAGTAACTTAATTTTTTTTTTTCTGAAGAGAGATGGGGAGCCCTTGTTGGTGATGATTTTATATTATAAATTGGTAATTTTGGTAGAATTTTAATATTGTAGTATTTAATATTTAAAATGCCAAGGTGCCTTGTTTTCAAAGGCAACTTAGACAATTCTAAAAGTAAAGTTTGCTGGCCCTATTTGTATTGAGTATGATAGGGATGTATCAAAGATGAAACTTTAGGTCCATGCAGTAGACATATTACCTCAGACCCAAAAGCTCTTAGACGTACCGGTATAAGGTTACATGACTTGACAGGAATGACTTATTAGCACTGGTACAACAATGCAGAAATGAAGCTATACTGCTTTCGAGATTAGTTTTCAGCATACTCATTTAGGTGTTGAAGTTGCCCTTGTGAATGTTGAATTAGTATTTAAAATTATCAGCTCATAATCTACGTCTACAGTGTAATGTGGTTTTCAGTGTGAGGAGGCTTAAGTTTTTAAAATCCTGAGTTGTTTTTTGAAAGTGGAATTTGGATCCATGAGGTTGTTTAGCATGCAGAAGAGAAGGCTCTGGAGGGACCTTATTGTGGCCTTTCAGTACTTAAAGGGGCCTTGTAGGAAAGGTGGGGACAGACTTTTTAGCAGAGCCTGTAGCGACAGGACAAGGGGTAGTGGTTTTAAACTAAAAGAGGGTAGATTCAGATGTGGTATAAAGAAGAAATTTTCTATGATGAGGGTGGTGAAACACTGGCACAGGTTGCCCAGAGAGGTGGTGGATGCCCCAGCCCTGGAAACATTCAAGGTCAGCTTGGATGGAGCTCTGAGCAACCTGACTGAGTTGAAGATGTCCCTGCTAATTGCAGGCGGATGGGATCAGATGACCTTTAAAGGTCTCTTCCAACCCAAACTGTTCTATGATTCTATCCTTCTGAAGAGCTTCTTGCCACACTGTTCTGCGCTTTGGGTATTAAGAACAATTGCTGCAGACTTGCAGAAAGTTTTAACTTGGCGTTTATTATGAAGACAGAGCAATAAAGTAGTCATGTTGAAGTGAAGCGACAGAAGTATGGGGTAGTCGGTACCTCGCTGTGGTTAGAGGTGACCTGGAAATCATTGGCTATTAATATCCAGCAGCGTGAGGTAGAGAACACTAACTCAGAATTTTATCAGAGCACTGCACTGAGAGCCCTTGAACCCACTCTAGGTTGTTTAGGGTATGAGTCAAATACTGGCTTTAACAGGTCTGTAAAATAAGATATTCCTCCTAGACAATCAAGATGTAAGAATTGGAATTTAACAATAATAAAAATACATCCTGAGATTACACTGCCTGTATAGAATGTCATGATAGTATGAAAAAGAAGGGGAACAGGTAATAAGAAATGAGTGTTTTGAAGGATCATAGCTTTTGGAGGAGCTTGAAAGAACCTAAGAGTGTGAACCTATGAGTGCTGGGTCATTATCTGTTTCTTTGATCTTCCTTTATTCCATGACAGAATTAATCTACACTTTGTCACACTTGCTATAAAATCTGTATTGAAGTCCTTACCAATGGTGAAACTGCATTTTTGTGAGAAGTTATTGCCAGAAAGCGTTCTTTCCTTGTATTATACCAGTCATATTTATTGCATTGAAGTGCAAGCTTCTGATTTAATCTTTTAAAGGCTTACATCTGTAAGTACTGAAAAACAGATATCCACTTTTTTTTGAGGAAGAAAATAAAATAACAGTAAAGAGTATGTTGCACAAAGAGCAGAGAGTTTTTGTGCTTATCTATTGTATTTTATTTTTTTTCATTTAGAAACCTCGGGGTGGGGGGAAATTCACTGGCAGCTCCAACTTGCTGAAGACTTCTAGAAGAAATTCTGGCTTTTTCCAAGCAACAGGATGGAACAAAGAAAGCTCGTGTGAGCAGAAGGAATTTGGACCTGAAACCACAAGACTTTTTTAAAGTTCTTAGTTATATGAAGCTGAATAATTTTTACATATGAAAGAGGCAAATTGTCATTGCTGCCATCAATAAAACCACAGTGCACTATTCTATTCTTTGCCTTGTATTCTTTTTACTGAGCCTTCATTGTTAGTTAACATAATACTAATGTATCATTATTTTTATTAATTTTGCATTGATTTTGGTTCTAATATTGTTTCTAGTAAAAGTAAAACATATTTTCTCAAAAGCACACAGGATTGGGCCTTTAATTTAGTTTTTAGGCTAGCATTAGTGAAACGTTCAAAATTTTCAGCTAATTATTGTACAGTGAAATTCTGAATAGGTTTTGACTGTGTTTTCTGTGTTTATTTTCCAAAGTTGCTGAAGGCCAAATTACAGATTTGCCTATTATGTTTTTCATGATCTGTGACTAAAAGGTCGAAGGGGAGAAAAAAAAAAATCATCAGTTTCAATAGTCATTTTCTAAATAATTTTATGTAAATATTTTCTCTTTAGGAATATTTATATTACAGAAATAGAAACATTTCTAGAAGGTACAGGAAAGTAGTTTAATCAAAAAGTAATGGAAGATGCATATGAGTATTTTAAACGTAATTATGTGTATACATGCACACAGGTGCAACCTGTTGAATAGTGTGTTCTAACTTTCTTGTAGCTTTAAACTCTGCTTTTATTGCTTCATATTAGAATTTTTTCAATCATTGATGCTTTAAAGAATCTTATGTCAGACTACTTTTCATTCTAAGCTGTATCTTTGAATCTTATGTGATTATGACAAACAGTTGAAATTTCACTATTTCTTTAGCTGAGAAGCACTCAAGATCTATGTATCATGCAAATCCCTTCTAAGCTTTATTCTGATCATTTAATTAAGATGGAAATAGCACATATGTTTTGAGGTAGGTTTGTAAAGACAGAATTTTACCTGAGATATGTATTGATGGTATAAGAAATTCTACTGACTTTCTCTCTGAGTGCTCATACAGCACTCTGTTTGGATAGAACCTGGTTTATTTGGATGAAAAGAAGTTTTATATTGATGATGTAATTGAATGTATTTGCAGTACGTAATGTGGATTACTGTCCAAATGAAGGGAAATCTTACCAATCACATAAATATTTGCAGAATAGTAAGGAACCAAATGGTTAGCTGCCTTAATGGATCCTAAGCAGCTTCTGGAGAACTATAATGCAACTCACTAATAATTCTAAAGAAATTTGGAAGCTTAAAACATGACCTGTACAATGCTGAAGTTCTTCACTATCAGCTGACACGCACCAAATTTTATGAAGTTTGTTAGATTTAAGTTAGAAACCACTTTCCAAGTACTATGAATCATCCTGGTCAGTTCTGCTAAATTGTACCAGCAAATAAATAAATTGTAGATCTCATACATTGGATGTTGGATGCTTTACTTCCAGAATTATCGCTAAGACCACTGATAGCAGCTATTCAGCTTCAGAAGGTGATGCAGCCACTGCATCGTTTTAAAAAGCAGTTTTTTCTTTACAAACAGACTGTGCATTAAATGAGCCCTACAATCAGTGTACCAAAGCAATTTCTGAAATTAAAATAACTTTTATGTTCTTTTGAGCTTTCATTTTTGCTGTGAACTAAATCATAAAATTCAGGAAACTGCAGTCTGATTAAGTGAACTGTAAAAAAAATAAAGCCTACTGAGGAAAATTTGAAGTCTGTAGAAATACGATGCAGCATTCTTCTGTAGTGGTTGTGGCATTCTGAAATTACCACATGTATGTGCAGCTGTTTGTAGGCAAATGAAATACATTTAAGGGTGTTGGTTTTGTTTATAAGACAGTAAAGACTATGTCCTGGTCTTTTCACTGGTGCTGAGGAACTGGAAAGCCAGAGTAAGCAAACAGCTGGAGAGTTTCCTTGAAAAGACATGTTGTCTTTGTGTGTTTTAGGATTCTTTTCTGTTTTGGTTTCAACTGAAATAACTTATTTTGAAAGCTCTGCCTGTTAGGATCTGAAGATGAGTAGATAAAAACTATTTGCATCAACCTATTCTGAAAAGGAAGAATTCATATATTCATGCTCATCGATTCCTATATCTGGAAACAACATGATGATAAACTAGGTATGTATGTAAATTATTTTCTTGATTTGCATAATCCATTGAAACCACAAATACAATAATTTGCCAGTCATAATGTAGTAAAGTTTACATACACAAGACCAATGTTAATTTATGTAGCTTTTATGTTCAGAAAAAGTTGTCATGACTAGGCAGGTCTTCAAAACTGACATAAAAGTTAACTTCTGATTTGTCAAAAGCAACAGCAAAAGCAAGCTCCTGAACTTCGAGGGGCAACATACCTGTAGTTAAACAAAAAAGGCTGATAAGGAGCACTGGATCCTGATCATCCGCACTATTTATTTACTAGCTTGATTTCTGACTCTATTTTGGAGTGTTCTTGACTAGCTGTTTCTAAGACAAACCTGTTACAAAGAAACTTTGCCCTTTGCAAGCTGGACATGAGCCAATCTGTGCCTCTTGACCTGTGAACCAATAGGTCCCTGGTCTGTGGCCTTCCTTTACTAGGGTTATAGATAGAATTTATGAGAATTTCTGTCTTGAATTTAGGAATGCAATTCTAATGAGATGTTTTCCTTGCCATGGACTTGTATATAGCATTTTTACCTAAAGGAAATTAAAAGCTAGAATTTCTGATTTAAATTATTCTTAAAAGTTATGTGCCAAGTTGGTAATACTGTCATTGAATAAAATTTTAATTTGTTTTTTCCCCTTTATATTGTTGAGATATAAAATCATTTTAAAACAAAGAGTGGAAATGTTCCGGTTTTCTTGTACATGTTTTCAGAGTTTTGTAACAAAATCTGATTGAAGTTGTCATGTTTTCATTTAAAATTCTTCCTTGGACTAGCATCTTCTGGTAGATATTCCTATATATTTTATATATAAATATATATGTTAATACAGCTTTTCCTTTTGTCACTAACAGGTACTTTCTTATTAAGTCTTTGGCAAAAAATGTACAGGATCACTTGTCAAGGTCGCTCTTCCCAGAAACACTGCTGGAATTTTCTCTGCAGAATCTCTCTGTAATGACTTGAGCCTTATGCAGATGAAACTTGTTGGGAATATGGCTTTCCAAGGCAGTATTAACAACATATATTTCCATTGGGTGGTGAAAAGTCGATAGATATCACAGGAAGGACAAATCTTTTCCATGAGATGGACTTGGCATTAGATACAGAATGAGTAAAAGCTTAATGGAAGATAAATATTTAGCTTGAGGTAAACCTGAAAAGACATTTGCAAGAGAACTCTCAAACAGCCAAACTAGCTAATGGAGGTTGGTCTAATGTTAGCCAGGTAGCTGAAAGAATCTGGCAGTGTAGGGTAAACAGTCCCTTTCTAGCATTATGGTCAGAGGGGACTTCATACAGAAAAACCTCCAGTGCTTTTGTGCATACACAGGAATGTATCATTCTGAATGACTGAAAGCATAGATGCTTTCTTGAAGAAGAATCCTAGTTCAACTGTCCTTTCATCAGATGACTTGATCCAACTCCAGTAAAATCTTGTAACTTTCTTGAAAACTATATAAGCCTCAAGAATGGCTAGTTGCACAATTTAGCTACCTCAGTTTAGCTTTCTACTTGCTACACAACTATTGAGGTGTTCTCTTGTGTTTTTTTCTTTCTGAAATGTTTTAGAGCAACCTATTGCAGGAGAGCAGCTAAACTATGGAAGGTACTCCAAACATGTAGGCACTGAGCTTCTCATAGCATGGTATGCATATGAAAAGCTTTGGTTATTAGTGGTATCCTTCAAGCAATGGTAAAGACTCACAATTACTTTTTTTTCCCTCCGATATTAATTTCGTATCAATTGCTTATGTTGCCCTGTTCTGGCTTGAAATTACAATTTTGTTTTGTGGTTTTGAGAATGATTCCAAATAATTTAAAAAGTAAAGATAGAAATACATCAACACTTCATTTTCCCCCAAGACTGAGAGACCATTAAAAGTCAGTTTCCATACAAACACATGGCCTTTTGATGGACATAATTATATTCTGGAAATTATGGTGGTATGAATGAAACCAGAATCTAGTAAAATGTATTTTTAATATATACATATGTTCAAATAAATAGGAACTGTGGGAAGGCAAATGATTAGGTGTGTAGCAGCAACAGAGCATTATAGATGGTCTAAAAAAAATTCTGCAGCTGCTTCTAAGGAAAATGTTTACAGTCACACTATACTATATCCTGATTTCGGCTGGGATAGAGTCAATTTTCTTCCTAGTAGCTGGTACAGTGCTATGTTTTGGGTTCGGTATGAGAAGAATGTTGATAACGACCTGATGTTTTCAGTTGTGCTAAGTAGTGTTTAGTGTAAAGTCCAGGATTTTTCAACTTCTCATGCCCAGCTAGTGAGAAAGCTGGAGGGGCACAAGAAGCTGGGAGGGGACACAGCCAGGGCAGCTGACCCAAACTGGCCAACGGGGTATTCCATACCGTGTGAGGTCATGCCCAGTATATAAACTGGGGGGAGTTGGCCTGTGGGGGTGGGGCTCAGGAACTAGCTGGGCATCGGTCAAGCAAGTGGTGAGCAATTGCATCATGCATCACTTGTTTTGTATCTTCCAATCCTTTTATTATTATTGTCATTTTATTATTGTTATTGTTATCATTATTAGTTTCTTCCTTTCTGTTCTATTAAACTGTTCTTATTTCAACCTACAAGTTTTACCTTTTTCCTTCCAATTCTTTCCCCCCGCCCCCCGGGGGGGGGGGGGGAGTGAGTGAGCAGCTGAGTGGTGCTTAGTTGCTGGCTGGGGTTAAACCACGACACAGTGCCTTGTAATATTTCATGCAACTTGAGTAATCTATTTCTGTCTTAAAATGGATGCACAGGTAAGTATTGTGCAGAAGATACTAATGTCAGTTTCAGGCAGTTCAGTATGTCATGGGATCTTGCATGCTTTGCTTTGATTTTGTACCATATATTTCTAAACTGCAGAGGTTAAAGCATGTAAATAATATTTTATATTTGTTTTATAGTCAAAATATTCTTAACCCAAGTATA